GATTTCGTGACTGCAGGAATCCATACACTTTGGTTCTTTCGGTAAAGTCACGTAGGTATAAGATAAAATGTAAATAAATCACGACGTTTCGGGCGCAACACAAACGTCCGTCATCAGGTGGGAAAGCTTTCCCACCTGATGACGGACTTTACCGAAAGAACCAAAGAGTAAGGAGCACATGGGTTGGAGCATTATTGCAAGCCAAATGCATAAACATATCTATTCAACTAAACTATTTGTATTTTACCAGGTAAGGCACACTGAGCTGTACAGCTCTTTTTGAGAAACGACCTGGCCACAAATGATAGCCCAACAAAGTGGCTCATCATGTATAAATGTATAGCAGCCAAATGCTGTAAACGCGTGCTGATTCTAAACGTGTTGGGGGGGGGGAAATCAGAGGACCCGGAGGAAATTCCACGCGACCATACGGAGAACATGCAAACTCCAAATATACAGCAGGCGTCAGGGTCAGGATCGAACCCACAACCTCCTGTATCCCAGGCGAGGGAGGTGACATCTCATAGCCACCGCGGCTCCCTGCAAGACGAGTGGGGGCGTGCAGGGCACCGTCGCTAGAAGGTGCGGTGGGAGTTGGTCACAAATAAAAATGAAGTGGCAGCCAAGGAATGGAATGCGTCTGAGATGACACCCACCGAAGTCAGCCCGTGCACTTGATGCAGCATTACAATCGCGTGATCGCGAGGTGACGGTGGCGGATTGGCGGGATCCTCATCCATCAGTGGATTGCAAATGATGATAGGAATTGGCTGCGACGCAGTTGAGATCATGGCAGGCGCGGCGGGGGGGCAGGGGCAGAGACCAAACAAAGTACACTCACGTAAACAGCGCTCGCCTCTCTGTGCTTCGTGTATACACAACTGCGCTGCGTCAGTGTATATCACTGCAAGTGCATTTGTCCGGCGAACACAGCATGCGCTTATATAGAGATGGTCACGTACGAGCGAGCCACACGTCTGGTGGCGCTGAGAGAAAGTTCCCCACCCCCCTCTCCACCCCAAAGGGGATAGAGGTTTGTGCATTCGTAGGGTGAACTCCGGATTACTCAATGCACCGGGCAGAGTGTTTTGTCTTTGTGGGTTGCCTATGGGGTGCTGGCCACCCAACACCCCTCGTGTGCCGTGCCGGCCTTCATTAGGTGCGGGCTAGCTGCACTTGCTCCTACAGTCTGTTAAAGGCTATACGGGGAATCGTTGTCTGTGGGGAACGGTGGCGTAGTGATTAGCGCACTGTGCTGTGAACCGGATGACCTAAGTTCGATTCCCATTCATGGCGAACATCAGTGACGAATTACTAAACCAGTTGCCGAGGTTTGACTCATCCTTAAAAACGAGAAACTGGTGCAGAATAGATATCACCACTGGGGAGACAAAGGCGGCCGGGTGCTGGATACTGGCCACATCACCGTGCTGGCCTTCAGAGGTGCTACTCGCTGACAGTACTTGCCCAAATTTCTATGTAGGCTTCACCTAGTTTCCATGAACCACAAAACTCAAGATTAAAGCTGAGTTGCTGGTCCTGGCATCATATTTCCGAATATTTTGCCAACTCGAATTTTGCCAACTGGAATCTTTTTGCGGAGTCAGTTTTTCTTCCCGGGCTGACCTTAATTCCTCGTCAGAATTTGGGTTGCGCAGAAATGCATCGTTAAATGTGTTACAATTTAAAATATTTAAAAAAAAGTATATGGTTGTAGCTCTGACCATTTCAGTTTACAATTTATAATTCATTTCTGGGTAAGGCCAAAAAATGTTATGGCCAAAATATGTGCTCTCATACCACATCCACCACCCGGCATAGCCATATGTGTGGCTATCAGCTATGTTGGGGGTCAGGGATGGTCTTACGAGACAAATGTGGACACCTCATTGTGTGGCTTAGGCCAAAAATGAATTATTTGTTGCAAAGATCGACGTATTAATTTTAATTTCACATCCTATAATTACAATGTAATTGTCGGCTCAAGCAACTCGATGGAAGATCATGGGCATGTTGCCCCCAGAGCAGGTTGCCCCTTCTGCCTGCCTCGGTCGCTATGCCACTGTGAACAACTCACACCAGCTGGAGTCAAAACTCGAGTTGTCAATGCAAGCCATTAGCGGGCCTACATACTGTAGGAGCAGCTCAGTGACACTTTGGCAGATCCAAGGGGGAACGAATGGGGGTAATAGCCCCCCACTTGAGACCCCACCATTGGTACGTTATTGATATTTACCAGAGAAAAATGAGAGTGCTTTTTTTGTATTTCTGTAGGGATCGAATGAAAAACCGTGGAATTTCAGCACCGCCCATCGAACAAAGACGGTCACCGCATCGCTCGCTTTCAGCTGCGCTTCTGCGGCCGTCTGGAACGCTCTTCCTTCCTATATTATGAAGCCACTGGAGCTGTGCACTTTTAAATCTAAATTGAAAATTCATTACTTTAGAACTGTTTTTGGTGTTTGGTTTGTTATCCCTCCCCCGCATCTCCAATTAGCACGGTTGGCTACGTACGGTGCGAAAGAAGTTCAGCATACATACATCCGTCTCTGCAAAAACATCACTTGCCCAGACCAATGGGGGGTTGAGTTCAGCTGCAAAAGCTGTGGGTGGGTGAGAGTGGTGGATATTGTGGTGTATGAATAGTGGGGAGCTGTAGTGTAGCGGTTAACGGGCTGCGCTACGAACCCGGCGACCCGAGTTTGATTCCCTACTCACGGCGATTATCTGAACCGGTTCTGGACCTCGTCTAGGTCGACTCAGCCTCAAATGAATACCTGGTGCGGTGTTTTAACATCGCCACGAGAGAGGCAAAGGCAGCCGCGCGTGGTGCTGGCCACCCACCCCCTCGTGTGCCGTGCCGTGCCGCAACACTTGCCCCAACCGTCTGTTAAGACTATACGTGGGATCTTTGTCTTTGGTGTATGAATATGTACGTGTGCCGCTGTTTATGGGTGGAGACTTGAGTGTGTCTTTAGGTTGTGTGCTTGTGTGTGTGTGCCTGTGCGGTTTGCATGTGCGCACGTTGAAGAATGCGCGTGTGTTAGGACTGTGTACAATGACAGCGGAAGGTGAATGCAAGTGTGTTGTGTGTGTGATGGTCGAGGAGTGTGTGTGTGTTGTGTGTGTGATGGTCAAGGTGTGTGTGATGGTCAAGGTGTGTGTGTGTGTGTGTGATGGTCAAGGTGTGTGTGTGTGATGGTCAAGATGTGTGTGTGATGGTCTCGGTGTGTGTGTGATGGTCAAGGTGTGTGTGTGTGTGATGGTCAAGGTGTGTGTGTGATGGTCAAGATGTGTGTGTGTGATGGTCAAGATGTGTGTGTGTGATGGTCTCGGTGTGTGTGTGATGGTCAAGGTGTGTGTGTGATGGTCAAGGTGTGTGTGTGATGGTCAAGGTGTGTGTGATGGTCAAGGTGTGTGTGTGATGGTCAAGGTGTGTGTGTGATGGTCAAGGTGTGTGTGTGATGGTCAAGGTATGTGTGTGATGGTCAAGGTGTGTGTGTGATGGTCGAGGTGTGTATTGTGTGTGTGTTGTGTGTGTATTGTGTGTGTGTGTTGTATGTGTATTGTGTGTGTGTTGTGTGTGTGTGTTGTGTGTGTATTGTGTGTGTGTTGTGTGTGCATTGTGTGTGCATTGTGTGTGTGTGTTTTGTGTGTGCGTTTGCAATTGACGGGGTAGGTTCGTGGTGTGCACGGAATGTTGAGCACGTGTTTGTGCACTGCGAGTCACATGGGCACGACGGGTGCACACACGTGTGTGTGTGTGAGTCACGGAAGGGGGGAAATGTTTGCCATGTATGACACTGGGAGGGGGGGGTGACTGTATAACAGCAGGAGCGGTGTATTTGTGCGTGTGTGTGTGTGCATGTGCAACGGTAGGGGTGGGTGTAACGGTAGGGGTGAGTGGGTGGGTGGGTGTAACGGTAGGGGTGGGTGGGTGTAACGGTAGGGGTGGGTGGGTTTAACGGTAAGGGTGGGTGGGTGTAACGGTAGGGGTGGGTGGGTGTAACGGTAGGGGTGGGTGGGTTTAACGGTAAGGGTGGGTGGGTGTAACGGTAGGGGTGGGTGGGTGGGTGTAACGGTAGGGGTGGGTGGGTGGATGCAACGGTAGGGGTAGGTGGGTGGATGCAACGGTAGGGGTAGGTGGGTGGGTGTAACGGTAGGGGTGGGTGGGTGGGTGTAACGGTAGGGGTGGGTGGGTGGGTATAACGCGAGGGGGTGGGTGGGTGGGTGTAACGGTAGGGGTGGGTGGGTGGGTGGGTGTAACGGTAGGGGTGGGTGGGTGTAACGGTAGTGGTGGGTGGGTGGGTGTAACGGTAGGGGTGGGTGGGTGGGTGTAACGGTAGGGGTGGGTGGGTGGGTATAACGCGAGGGGGTGGGTGGGTGGGTGTAACGGTAGGGGTGGGTGGGTGGGTGTAACGGTAGGGGTGGGTGGGTGGGTGTAACGGTAGGGGTGGGTGGGTGGGTGTAACGCGAGGGGGTGGGTGGGTGTAACGGTAGGGGTGGGTGGGTGTAACGGTAGGGGTGGGTGGGTGGGTGGGTGTAACGCGAGGGGGTGGGTGGGTGTAACGGTAGGGGTGGGTGGGTGTAACGGTAGGGGCGAGTGGGTGGGTGTAACGGTAGGGGTGGGTGGGTGTAACGGTAGGGGTGGGTGGGTGGGTGTAACGGTAGGGGTGGGTGGGTGGGTGTAACGGTAGGGGCGAGTGGGTGGGTGTAACGCGAGGGGGTGGGTCGGTGTCTCTGCGCTTGCATAAGTCGGGTTCCAAATCTGTGGCACCGCGGTGGCGAGCGTCACGAATTCTCGCGTGCAGGCTCCACAAACCGGGAGCCGCGGAGCGCGAGGAAATCAGTGGAGAGGCAGCAGCAGAAGCAGCAGCAGCAGCAGCATCGAGCGCAGGGAAGCAGCGAGCCGAGAGCAACAGCCATCCCAGAGACGCGCGGCGCACAGCCCGCGGTCCCAACGCCACCGTGAGGATTCCACCCCCACCACCTCCTCCTCACCTCCTCCTCCTCACCAGACCCGCGGGCTCACCGCTCCACCGGCTCTAGCACGAGCGCGAGGCACCACCGCACCCACGGCACGACACGGAGGAGGAGCTCGCATTAAAAAGGGAGCTTGGAGATTGTTCACGGGGTTTTTTCCCCCCCCATCCAGAAATAACGAGATATATAGGTTTATAAATATAATCCTCCTCGACGTTAGTGCAGTTGTATCGATCAAACATCAAGATCACTACAATTTTTTTCTATCATTATTCTTACGACTCCAAAAAAAAGGACTCTCGCGTGTCTTGACGTTCTGGTTCCATCACCTCGTGAGCCACCAACCCCCCCCACCCCCACGCCTCCGGTTCAACTATTTGGATCGTACCAAAGCCTGCGTTGGCATCGACACAACGCCCGGAGCTCGGAGGTTGTGGACCGAACGGCCGCGTCTTCTCAGTCGTCACGCGGAGGGATGCCAAGATGTCCACGAACGCGTCCCTGATTCGAATTCCCTTCTCGGACCTTGAGATCGGAGAACTGTGTGGCGGCGGTAGCTATGGCACGGTGTACCGAGCCATCTGGGTACCCCAGGACAAAGAAGTGGCCGTCAAGAAACTTCTCAAGTTTGACCGAGAGGTGAGTTTACACGAGCACACACACACACGCGTGTATATATGTGTACGTGTGCATTACCGCACACGCCGTGCTAGTAACGTCGTGCGCGCGTTTTATCTCGTTTAGCTGTCAACCCCTTACCTTAGTACAGACCAATTCAGACCTTGTTGGTCACCCTTATAAATCTAAACGTTCATCCTATACAGAGTCCCATCACAAGGGAGAAACACAAACAAATTGACAAAAGTTATGTTACTAAACAAACATTTTTTTTATTTAAAGCTTTCGTGACTGCAGCAATTCATATTCTTAGCTCTTTCGGTAAAGTCACGTTAAAGGGAAACAATAAAATAATAAAATATATATAACAATAAAAAAATTCTCACGACGTTTCGACCATAACACAAACTGTCATCATCAGGTGTGAAAAGCAACGGCAAGAAACATTTTTTTGCCCGTAATTGAAACGGCTGTACGCCGTATGGACCTGAAAACTCAATTTCCCTGTACAAGAATACGGGGTAAACCTTATGGGTTGACGGCTATGGATCTGTCCCATCTGTAACGTGACGGAAAGGTTGTCAAACACCTCACGTGGATGGACATATGCGATGATCCATTATGTACAAGCCTTGAATAACCGCTTGGGTGGCTATCAGAGGCGTACCCTCCTCTTGAAAGTCGGTGAAAGTGATCAAAGGGTTACACAAAATTTGAGACAAGCCAGAGCAGCAACAACAACAACAAATGACTTTGCAAACGTGTTAAAGATTTTCCCTGACAGCTGCCCCATTAGCTTCCATACTGCTGAGTACATGCTTAGAAATCGTTATTCTGTCCAGGCACATGCATGCTCTCTCAAAACCTTAGTTTTGCAAGAGATGGCAGTGGGCAATCGACGGAGTCGGCACTGTTGTTTAGTCGCGAAGGTACACATCGTGTCACACAATTTAAAACGACGTGATGATGAACGTTATTTTGTCTGTCCGTTAGTCAGTCACACCACTTGAGTAATTTTGATCGCAGAGACTCGAGTCAAAACTCACCGCTAACCAGACGGAACCAGGGACCGATTGGTGTTGATGATGACCTATGTATGACTTATGACCTCGAACTCTCTTAACGTTCTCCCCATTCCTCTGATGTGATGAGTTGCGAGCTAGGAATAGATTTAGCAAATTCTGGCTGACAGAGGGACATAAGGGGGGCATATGGAGTCCATAGGGAATTGAAATCATGACATTTCATGGCATGTTCAAGTTTATATGCAAGGTTCATTATCCAAGCGTGATTAAAAGAGTTCATCGAAACTGCACTCGGGTCGTATTAACGCCCTACACGTTTCACATTGTGAAATGTGTGAATATTCAAACTGAATATTCAGTTTCTTCAAATTTCTGTAGAATTATTTTGATATCAATGTTATGAACAAACAAACAAAAATCAGTGTTGTGGTTCTTTCATCAAAGTTGAATCACAAAAGGAGCATTTATAAAGAGGTGACCAGATAAATTACCCCTCTGTATATCTGCTCCAATGACCCAGGTGTTCCACATTGCCAATGAATTACATCATGTCAGCCCTTTGTCAATCCACTGCTGGATGAAGGCCTCTCTACACCGTGTTCGTTATGACCGAATTTCACCACGCTAGTCAATACAGATTTCTGAACTGATGCGCAGGCTGACTGAAGGAGAAGGTTCAGATATAAAGCACGTCACTGATGCTAGCCATGGCCGGGACTTCAACTCACGTCGCCTCAATGGGCTGCGCGATATTCGTGGCGAGCCCTGGCCTCTTGCATCCGGCGATCGGCAGCATGCCTGAAACTGCTGATGGGATTCAAAAAGTCACAAATCAGCCTTCGGTTTGCCTGCTTAAAAAAATGCTGCTGTAAAACATTCGATCCAGAAGACCCTTTAGCTGTTGAACATGAATGTTATTTCATTTCACGTGGTGAAATGGATGTTGGGGAAACATTTTTTTTATCTAACTACACTTTCATTATCAGATTTTCATGGGGGGTTATTTTCCGGCCATGTGAAAAATCAAATTTGCTTCGAGTCAGATTGCTCAGATGAGGAGCTAACAATTCCAGCGCCGCCGTGCGGATGCATGATAAAGCATTACAATGGCGAGATGTTAGCTACCTCGCCTGGTATACAGGAGGTCACGGGTTGCATCCCGACCCTGATGCATGTACATTTGGAGTTTGCATGGCTCTCTCCCCGTGGTTGCGTGGATTTTTCACCGGGTCCTCCAGTTTTTCCCTCCACATTTAGAAATGTGCATTCAGAGTATTTGGCTGCTATACATTTCCACGTGATAAGCCACTTTCGTTGAGCTATCATTTGTGGCCAGGTGGCTTCTGAAAAAAAGAGCTGCATAGCTCAGTGGGCCTTACCTGGTAAAGTAGAAATTGTAATTACAAAAAAAGTCACCCATTGCAAATACGTGGACGTGAAGGACACTGGAAGGTCATGCATCAACAACAGCCTGCGATCGTACGCCAGGGCCCTGCACACACATTTTGGCCATTTTCCATAAACGTCAGTTTATAATTAAATAAAAAAAAACTTCGCTCCAAGAGGGCGATGAGCGGTGGGCTAGGAGTACACATGTTTATAATTAAAATACCTGATTTGCTCCTTCAAAATCAAACAGCTTTTCCCATAAAAGGCATGCCTTTTTTTCCCACCGGTTCTTTTTTTTTTAAGCCAGTCCCACACTCTCCTAAATAATTACGACTGTAGGCCAAATTCCGCTCGCCAAAGCGGTGCACGTGGTTCCCTGTGCCGATTCGCAGGCGTGCGAACACGTAACATCCTGGAAATCCGTGAAAAAGAGCTTTTTAGCTTATCGCCTTCCTCCGGTATAAATTAATATTCTGATTATGATTCTGAGCAAAGCTCGCTCTTGCTACTAGGTTTAGGCCAAGGAGAATTCTCAGCATAAAAAAGGCATTGCAGAGGTCCCATTAAAAATAGGGTTGTGTGTGAGTCCAATGGCAAATCCTACTGGGCCTCATATACACTTTCAAAGTTCCCATGGATTCCTGTAATGTTTGTTTATAATCCGATGGGAACGAGAATTTTTTTTGTTAAATTCGTAGGCCAATTTTAAATGTGGATGTAGCCCAGTGTACAAAGAGTGGAGTCAGGGATTCAAAATCATCACCATCATCAGCATTATCATCCTCTGGTGTCAGCAACAGCTGCTCTAATTGGTGAATAACCTGGGACCCGTCATTGGAATGTGGAATTTCGACCACAGGCTGTGGACTTCCAATGGATATCACTGCAACCAGGCGTTTAATAAACAATTTGGCACATAGGCTTTTATTTTCAAAGGTGGAAAACCTAAGGAATCCCTCTGTGTGTATGCACATACACGTACATTTGTTCTTGTGTGTTATCAATGTGTATATAGATTTTGGGGAGCGATAGTGTGGGGGTTAGCGCACTGCACTACGAACCCGAAGACCAGAGTTGGATTCCCGCTCATGGCCAACACCATTAACAATTATTTCAACCAGTCCTGGGCCTCCCCTAGGTCGGCTCAGCCTCAAATGAGTATATGGTGCGATGTGTAGACATTGCCACTGTGGAGACAAAGGCAGCCAGGCGAGGTGCTGGCCACCCACCCCCTCATCTGCTTTGCCTGCCTTATTGGGTGCTCGCTAACAGCATTTTGCCCCAACAGTCTGTTAAGGCTAAATTTGGTATTTTTGTGTTTATATTCACGTGGGAAAAGGTGCCACGAAAGCTAGCCGATTGCACTTCGAACTCTGCGATCTGAGTTCAATTCCTGGCCATTTCTAACAACAGTCGCGAGTGACATCTGAACAGCAAGAGATGCTACCCCCCCCCCCCCCCCATCCATGAACCTGCACTGCCCAGCGTGGTGAAGTATGGTCACAACAACCCCCACGATCCACAGCCTGGGGATACCTTCATCCAGCAGTGGATTAACGAGCCGTAACGTACACACGCAAACTGCCTCTAACGCAGGCCGGCCTGAAGGTTCTTCACATGATCGGTGACCACACGTGACGTGTCTCCCTCCAGGCAGAGATCTTGAGCGTCCTCAGCCACCGGAACATCATCCAGTTCTTCGGAGCCGTCACCGAGTCTCCCAACTACTGCATCATCACAGGTACGCAGCACCTCGCCCAACCAGCTCAGTGGCCTTTGCGCGTTTTAAATTTCATGACCACGGATGCCGAGCAAGTGGCAGAGCATTGCCACCTCCCACGCTCTCCCCCACCCCTCCACCTTCCTTGAGACCCAGAACATTGTTACTTTGTTGATATTTACCAAAGACAATACATTGCATGTTTGTTTCATTATTGTTGCTAATTCGAGGCCCTATCTGAAGAGCTTCCAATTTCAGGACTGCTCCGCCGCCTCTTTTGAGACGTTTCCTGGTCTGCTGCCACTGTGCCAAGCACAGGGCCCAAAGGCCCGAAATGTCACGTGGCCAGCTAAAAACAGCACTATTGAAGATGGAACAGATGAGAGTAAATACGCTTATTAAGTTGAGCAAAGTTATCAGCAAACAAATGATGGTGATGTGGGGGGGGGGGGGGGGGGTTAAAGTGGAGCAGTGCGAGGAAAGAAGCAGAAAGAAAAGTGTGGTGACCTGCAGGGTGGTGGATGCACACAGAATGTCTCTCTCTTTATTTCGACTCGATGAATCCCATGAGGTGTGAGGCTTCTTTTCACAGATGTCCAGTGTGACACAGCGTGCATGAGACAAAATAATCAGTCTGGTTAAAATGAGTACGCAACCCGGGTGGAGGATCGAGGAGTGAAGTTCATGAGAACGGCAGCCATGGTAGTCGTGGTAGAAGAGTGATAAGGAGGTAACTGATTCCCGAAGAGCGAGTGATGGTATCATCGTTCAACCGGACTGCTTTAATTTTATTCTATCAGCTACAGTGATGTTGGAACTGGGACACTGCACCCCAGATATGGCATCAAGTAACACAAGCATGGGACAGGGGGCCTCCGTTTATTGAACTTGTTCCGTCTGTGCGGTTTGAATCCCCAGTGGGGAACGCATTACGAGCAGCTGCCTGCTTCTCACGTTTCCGCCCCTATTGCAGAGCGACACAGCTAACAGAAATTAGTGGCGGCGCTGCTGTTCATCCTCGGTAAACAAATGTGTCTCGTTTTGGAAAATATTTTTTCGACCATTGATGAGCGAGTGTCAGTGGTGGGAAGGAAATGCAAGTGACCACGTAGCTCCTCTACCAGCACAACATAACAAGAAGAGTAATAACGTCCTCTAGTTAGCCAGGACAATCTCACTTTGACTCTCAGAGACTTTTTTTCTGGAGCTTTCTGCGTAGGGATTTTTGGACAATTCGTTCATGCGTATGTGGACACTGGAGCACCCAGAGAAAAAAATCTACGTACGATGGGATATTACTCAAAATCTCCGCACAGATGGATTCAAGAGTCCAGTGCTGAATTGTCATCTCCCAACCACCTCACGGCCCAAGCCTACAACACCTAGTCTCACATCAAATTACTAAACCAGGTTCAACCCCTACTCAGCTTCTGATATCTGATTAAATCATTCATAGGGCGGGTTTTCATTTCAAACGGACCTATCCAGCACCGAGCTCCGGGACAATATTACCAAACCTGGCATAGCGCAACTCCAGTACACCTCGGTCATCCAGTCCACCTCGGTCATCCAGTACACATCTATCATGCAGTACACATCTATCATGCAGTACACCTCGGTTATCCAGTACACCTCTCTCGCTAAGCGGGGCTGCCCGTCACTCGTGTTGCCACCTCCCGGTCTACCAGCAACCCAGAAAATATTTGGTGAGAAATGAATCCCTGGCCATAGGCTACTGACCCAGTTGGACAGACTAATTATACTTTAAGGTTGTCATACAAGCACAAAAACAAAGTCACAAACGGATTGTGCAGCGCCAACCCTTAGCACGCCGCCTCCTCTGCACGCGGTGTTGTTTGGCGACTGGGACGCGTGGAATTAACTTTTTTTATTTTTAAGTCCCCCGCTCGAGCCACGCGATCGCCAAACCCAAACTCCACAATCCCCCCACACGCGCTTCTCAAGTGACTCGGCGCAGACCGCAGCAGTCGTCTGCGACTGCATGTCGCGAGACGCCGGCCTGGAGACGCTGGTTTACGTTATCAGGCGATGCAATGTTGGGGTTTTTTTCGCGGTTGAGCCAACTATGGACCTTGATAATTTAACGCTGTTAATATTTAAACTTTTTTTTTTTAGTCATTTCCCGCAAAAGGTCGTAAACATTTTCTTTTTCACGAGGGTCTTTGCTTGCAATGGTTCCGTTGTCCCCCCCTCCCTCCTCCCACCCCCCTTCCAATTAATTTTGACCTGCGACCAAAGCGCAACTGTATTCACCAAGTCGACAGATCCTAAAAGCCAAGCAGGTTTAGGCCTGGTGACAAGCTGGCTGGTAGACTGCGTGGGGATACTGCGGCCAGATGTCGTGGGACTGCCAAGTCTTCAAGAGACGGCAGCACAGCAATGCATTCTTAGATGCGTCCGTTGCAGAGCTTTTATTCTTGTTGCCTCTCGTATGCACGGCGCGTTTGTAAGTGGTCAAACGTCTCCATGACGGAGCCTGCTTGCAAAAGGGTAAATGAACGGACATCATCAGCATCGTTAATTATCGTTGCAAACAGGTACAGGAGTGCACACAGGCTAGAGAGATACTTTCTGTACTGCTTATTTACTTGTGCTGCATGTGTGCAGAGGTGTCCCCAGGGTGGAGGCAGAAGGAGATTGGTTCCCCCTTATTGTCACATCAAAATGTGCGAATTACTCTCGAATGCGATGCATGCACGCATGCTCGATCGGTATTCGGCGGCGAGTGCCTTACATCTGAAATAAAAACAGAGTTTGGAAAGTGCATTAAAGCTTACTTCTGACCTAGTACCGATCCTTTCCAAGATGTTTGGCCAACGTGGAAGAGTAGATCAAATACTCTCTGTGGTGGATCTCCCTTGGGCTCCCTCGATTGGAGGCCCTTCTGGCCAGCAGTGTCACGAGCGAGTCATAAACAGAGCTGCAACACCTTTACCATCCACCTTGTATTCCTGAGAATGGACGCAGCTTATTTCCAGAAATGTTTATCTGGGCGCGCCACGGTGCGTGCGTGGCACACACGATGGCTCGGTCTCTGCGCCCAGCCACGGAACGCTGCGTCTAAGACGGCCACCGCTTACCAGGCGTGCACCACCACCGCCGCCGCGCCTGGAACAACACGAAGTTCTCATCCAGAATTAACTCACACGTGAAGAAGGCTATGAATACACCACAGAGCAGACGGCATTGTCTCCCCCTGTGGGATTTCAGTTTTGTGGGTCCCACTCAGACCATGCCGAGGAGATGCCGTGCTGGGTCGGGAAAAAAAAGAGCCATCTCTGTCTGACATAAACAAGGAGTCCTAGCCTCATCAGGCTGTTGGGGAAAGTGCGAGCACCAATGGAGGCCGACATGATACATGAGAGGCGAGAGTGGCCAGCACCATACCCAACCGCATGAGTCTCCCCACTGCAACAAGTCTTGTTTTAGATTTTGGCCGCTTATGTTGGTCGTGAGCGGGAATTAAAGTCACGTGGGTTCACAGCACAGGGCGTTAACCTCCGATGAACACGGTTGGCTATGTACAGTTTCGAAAGAAGTTCAACATACATAACCGCTACACCACCACCTTCACAGTCATTGGTCACGCACATGCACACACGCATAACTTAACCTTTCACCTTTAAAATTTTGGCCTTTGCAGTGGGAGCATTTCATTGACGCTGGCGCATTCGCCCTCTCACTTTGCGATGGGCGGGCGGGCGGGCGGGTGGTGGTAGCCCGCTCGCACACACAGACAGACAAATGGAAAAGAAGGGCTCTTATTTATGTGCCGAGCGTAAAAAGAAAATGTCTCTATCTGCATGGCTGGAATTTTGTTGCTCGTGGCACAGCTGTTAGTGGGGGGAATAACGTGACATTTATGGAAAGAGGTGGACCATTTTTGGACAAAGTTTTCAAATTCGCGGTGGCGTTTTTATAGTTTCTGCGCGCGCGGTGGAGCACAGGGGACCGTTTTAAAGGGTTGTGATCCAAAACAAGTGGCTCCGATTGCGATTGAATCTCCGTTGTTGTTTTCTTTTTGCCTTTCTGGTTATAAAATTCCTTCTTTTAGTTTCACCAAACCAGTTGCTTAAGGGCCCTTGACTCATCGCTGGAGCGTTAAAGTTGGCCAGGCGTGTGCAGCGCTGACCCAACCGCCCCCCACCCCCCCCCCCCCCTTCATAAGTCCTTCCGGGCCATAATAGACGCTCACTAACACAGCAGCAATTTCCCCAACCTCTACGTCGGGGAGGGGGGGGGGGGAAGGTGTGGGTGCATCTTTGCGAGTGTTTGAGAGTATCTCACGGTACCCCTACTGCTGGATGTGACACCGACTCGAGGCATGTGGATCCACGTCGGCGTAGCCGTGCCGCCCACGTTCTCGGCGACGGTCACCGTGAAGCGATCTGGAATATTCCACCGCCCCCCCCACCAACCCCCCACCGCGACGCCGCTTTGGTGACCTGCCACGCAATTCAGCGCAACCGTAAACCCGTAGGAGCGCCGATTAAAAATACACGCGTGCACTTTTGGGGGGGTGCCACTTTTGGTGGGGGGGGGGGGGTGCTGCTTTCAGGCGAGCGGCGCGCCCTCGACCTCCAGCGTGCTCACGGCGTCTCCGTGAACTGACGTACGTTGAACGCCTTTCACAGCGTACGTAGCCAACCACTCTAATCGGTGGTCCAGGGGAAGGACAACAAACTAAACACAAAATTCACAACTAAAGAAATTAGTTTTTAATCTAGATTCTAAAAGTGCACGGCTCCAGTAGCTTCCTGATATCGGAAGGAAGAGCGTTCCAGACGGCCGCGGAAGCGCATCTGGTAAAGCGCGCGGTGCGGTGACCACCGTCTTTGTTCGATGGCTATCCAAAAGCCGCTGCTGCGAGGATGACCGCAGTTTGCGCGATGATGGTTTATGCTCCTTGATGAGATCAGCGAGGTATCGTGGTTCATTTGTGGCGAGCACTTTGTGTGTGTGATGAGTGCGGCCTCATCGATTTATTCGTTCGGCAACCG